TTCTTTCAGGTCGGATAATATCGAACATACGTCGCGATCGAGCACAGAAAAGCGGGACGGCCACGTCTGGATCTGGTCTCCACGGACGGGAAAATATGAGCATTTCGTGAAGCCAGAAAAGCAGAGTTTTCATCATGGAAACCGAGGAACTTACTAGGCTCGTCGACGAGATCTACAAGGTAAGTAACGAATCCTTTCGACCGAGTAGGGAAAGCGATCAAGCGCACTTTCAATTATTGAACAGTTACGCCCGAATTGACAAGGGAAATGCAAATCTCAAGTTTCAACTAGAAAGTAGTTGAAATAAGTACAATTCTGGTTTACACGATTATCGTTGAAGAACGAAAATACATTTATTCTTGGAGAAATTTCATACTGTAAATATTAACAAAATTGATTAGTGATAAATCATTTAATTTGAATATTAAAACAACAAATGTTTTAAACTCGAAATAAATAATTAATCACTAACTAATTTAATATTTACAATAATAAAGGACTAATTATATGGAACATTGAGTTTCGGTGAAACGAATTAGTTTTCATGTATATTGCGACGAACAGAAAATATCATAGACGCTAGGCTTAATAATAGATAGTTTGTGAGCTGTGGTATATGAAAAATGCTCTGTGAGCACAAGTTTCATATTTTTAATATTTCATTCAAAACTATCCATATATTAAGCTTTGTGTCTGTGACATCTGTTTCATTACAATATAAACATTACATGTATATTAAAAAAAAAGGTTCATTTGATTAAATTAATTTATTTCGTTTTTATTATACATACATTTTTCAACGAAAGAAATAAAAACAACGGAATTAATTTAGTTTAAAATGAACAATTTTTTTTCTCGTAAAATCTAATTCATTTCACTGGGACTTAATTTCCCATAATTAGAAATTATAATCAGTGAAATAAATTAGTTTGTATAACTATAGTTATAATTAGTAGCTTCACCCTTCAGGGTCCTTTCTCTAAGGGTACATCCTTTGCGCGAGAATTTAAACGACAATCGATTTTATCGAAGCCTCGCATAATAAATCCACATTTTTCGGAGGATCATTTAGGAGATTGGCTTCGTAATCAGGCTTCCAGAGTGTCCAGCATAATTATCGCGGCAGCACCCGGCTACGGTATGGAACGACGCTTAGTTACGATCTCCCGGAGATCGCATCGAAATAACGAGGTAACCGCCGGTTAACCCTGTTATCGCGCGGCTGAGAGTTTATGAGGTCCCGTCGCTGACAAGCGAGCCCCATGGCGCGAGTATATCACGCTGCGCGTAGTTATGTTTCAGCGGGGTTATTCAGCCAGGTGTACTTGGGGGGAGGGATGATGGGGAAGTGCGCACCCCTGCGTGGATATTAATTGGCTTCCGATCTACACGTAACCCCCTTCTCACGCGTGCCATCGGTTTTCATGTGTCGAGAGTACGCTGTTACAGAATGTCGTTCTCCATAATCGCACATTCCTTGGGGTTGTAATATTATATATATACATAAAATCATATAACATTGTAACATACATATACATGTAATTTTATATATA